AGTTTCAGGTAATCCAAGCGGATTCATAAATCTAAGCATTATAATAAGGTAGCCGAAGTTTTTTCATTTACCTCGGATTTTGCCTGACAAAGAAGAAAATTTTCGTCATACATCTTTTGCCATCAATTGATGAGAGAAATTTCCGGCTTACTGGTCAACGAAATGATATTGATATCGAACAAAAATGAGTTTACATTTCATTCATTTAGTTCGGTGAGAAAACCTGAAGATAACTTCTCCAAAACCTCTAATTACGTAGAAGGCCTAAAAAAGTACAGTAGATTATAATGAATTAGTACATACTGAAAGGAATGAATCGCACGATGAAAACCTTCAAAAGTTAAATGTATTGAACATCGTCCAAGCCTAGTAAAATTTGCCATAAAAAAGAATTTGTCATTAGCCTCTGTAAAAAACATCAAATAACAATCTGACGAGATTATTTAGGGTTATTTCAATGAATTCTATATAATGAAATTCGGAGCATTTAGATCGTTATAATCTCATGTTGAGGTAATTTGTCCTGTCACAAACTTTGATCGATTCTGGGAGGTCTGGAAACGAGTTTCGTTCAGCATGCTCTAGACTCAAACTAAAAAGCCCAGATAACGTCTTTGCATCTTATTGGCAATTATATTACAGATAAATAACATATAAACTACAGTTCCATGCACGATTATGTGCATGGAACTGTACATAAAGAAATGCGGATATTATTCTAATCTGGGACTGGGTCCTTTTTCTGAAGCTGGAATTTTGAGATATGGAGCTGGATATGAAACTGTGTGGAGCTGGAAGATTCAAACAAAACATTAAAGAAATGTTCTGTTTCCTAATTATTTGCAGATGTGGAGCCAGGAATCTTCCGACAAAGGGGTTGGAGCTTCCGACAGAGGGGCTAAAATGACTAAAATATGTAGTTTTTGTACGTTACTTTGTCAAATTTGCTCCGACAGTAACCTAAAATTTCCTCCGATGGGGGGGGGTGCTAGATGCTTCCGACAGAGGGCTGTAGCCCCCCAGCCCTCCCCTGGTGCCACCACTGATTATTTGCCTTATCATATTTTGTCCGAATGAAACAGTTGGACTGTATTGATGCAGGAAACTGTACCGATCAGCTGCTTCACCTTTATTTTATAGGTTATGACAAGACTTATTATGATTTTTTTACTGAATTGAATGGTAGGACAAAAGATTTCAGTTGGCAAATGTGAGGTCAAGAGGAGCAAAGACAATACACCTAGGATATGGCTGATTCAATGCCATAAAGCAGAGCATTGGAATAAACATTAACGAGCGCTCTGAAAGAGACCCAAAAAGCAAGAGAGTAGTCCAAAATATAAAATTTCCTATTGATTTGTCTTTTAATTATCCAAGAATATTTTTCTTGCTTTTTTTCTGCAGCCACTTTGTAGTGGAACCGTTACTTGGCGTCAAAAGTGCTTTTGGCATCTTTTTGAATGTCTAAAGCAGGGAATCGCACCTGGGCGGGAGTCCTATTCCTCCAATGTGCTCATGTCAAAATGGATGTAGGGATAAACAATTTAATTTCTTATGCTGAATGTGCTACTGCATGTGGTTTGCAGCAGGTTGCAAGCAGTGATAAGGCTCTTGACATCACAGGAGTGTTTAAAGTCATGTATTTTTATCCTTTAAAACTTGTAGTTTGCAATCACTTGATCGACTATAAAAAAATATTGAATAGATTGGTTTGGACTGATAGAAGCCCAGGCTTTAAAGGGCGAAAAGCTCTAAAAATATTTTGATGATGTGCAGAGCTGGAGGTTTTGTTAACAAAAAGCTCTGATGAAATGCTAACCTGAATCTGGCAGTTCTCTGATTTGATAGTTTTGACCAAGATATTTGAAGGTTGATTAGGTAAGAACGAGCTAAGCCCTGTCAAAAATGCTACTTCTGCAGTCATTCTTTCTTCAATTATTCATAGTTAGCTTCCTCTAAAATTAACACTGAAAAAACAAGATGACAATTTGACAACATGTGACATTAGAATCAACACTGCCTCTGAGTTTGAGGTAGTTGCTAAGACCTTCACTAGAATTCTTGAAATCTTTTTTCATTAAGTATGCCACATTCCATGTCAGCTAAAGACACGACAATATATTGTTTTAATAAATCTTGACATTGAACGAAAAATAATCAATTAATAGTCAAAAGGCCCTTATAGACTGGGCATTCATATGATGAATCAAAGCAACTTGCGAAAATTCTCACGAAATAATTGAATGTTTCCTTCGCCATAAGTCAAACAAACTTCTATCAACAAAATAGTCGTGTTCTCACAAGATACATCCCCCTCAAAGCATAGTCAGTCTATCGCACAAGGCAAAGAAAATAACAAAAGAATACTTCTACGCGTGTAGACGATCTACATTCTGTCCCTTTCGACCGACTGGAAAATGAATGCAAACGGTCGCAAGAGATCAAACGTAACAGATCATGTAACTAAAATATAAAACGCAAGATAACCGAGGTGATAAATTAGCCTGCCAGATATTATTGAATCGTAAACAGGATTTCACTCCTTCTTATACGATGTATGTTCTTACAAAAGACGACTAAACACTGATTATCTTCTTTGGTATTCACCTCAGACACGGTTCTAGAATGCAATAAGGAAAACCTACGCAAACCCTTGAGAATTACGTTTGTTTGAAAACTCATATTACCAGGAGAAATGAAAGATGTACGTTGTTATGACTTCCATTAAATACCTTTGTATCTGGCTACGGTTGTCTTCGCAACAATACCGTTTAAGGGACAAGAATAACGTATAGAGATCATAATGGGAATATGTTTAGGCCAGAAATGGAAGCAGGAAGATCAACTGTATAAATTCTTTAAATTTTCTCTTGACTGCTTCATCCATGTAGACCAATGTTGTTTGACTTATTTTAAGGAGAGATTGAAACATTATGCGCGTCCTTTCTTGTCAAAATCTCATGGGAATATGTTGACATTAGATGTAAGTGTGAATACCAATCAATACCTTGACTGGATGGCAAATGCTTTGGGATTTCTGTCAATGAATTAAGTTCGAAAACCTTGCGTTTAAAAATTATTTCTCTGACGCTCTTTAAACCAACTTTAAAGCTCGACACACCCAAAAATAACGAAAATGCCAAAAGTTTCTGACAGTTGCAATGCTTGAGTTGTTTGCTTGCCCACAGGTCTCCTTCCCTAAACGCAATATTCCCCGGCAATGATGAAAGTATCATATAGACTTGATTAAGAAATATTGATGACAAATTACCAGGAACCAAGGTAATACATTCATAGTACATAGGTAGAACAAAATATATATGTACTATCTATATACCCATGTACTGTTCGTAGAACACAGGTAGTACATATCGATGGATTCTTGCAACTGGCGTAATTTAAAGGTGCATTGTTTATATATTGCAAATGTAATCAGGAACAGTGGAGAGTTGAGAAAAAAGGAAGGTTTAAAAAAGGTGCGGTGATTTAAACTGAATAAAAAGAGGCTTAGCATCTTCACCAAACTAACAATACCCAGGGTTCTACTTGAGTTGGTTACACAGAGGCTAAGTACTCGTTTTCTGTTTTCTTCGCAAGCAAGGTGAAGATTGTGTAGCAATCAAAATCGATAATGGCACCAAAAGACCTTTTCACTTTTATTTGAAAGCTCTTCCAGCTTTATTAAGTCATTGAGATCAAGATAAAATACGATAGTTTAACTTAAATTCATCGATTTCACTCCCTTCTAAGTCTTTCTCTTGAAGCAAGTTTTGTATTCAAAACAAGACAATCATTGACAGGAGAAGGCCTTTGCAAGGAATGAGTTATAGCTTTAGTATTTCTATCATCAGCCTTATGATATTCATTGAGACTAAAGACGTAGATCTAAATGCATTTATACACCTTACAGAGTATCAAGAGAGGAATACTTCGAGTAATATGGCATTAGAGATAAATGATAGCATTTTTTAAGGTAAGTCTCTTTCAAGACATTTCTGGGAAAGTTACAAAACTTTTAAAGCATTATAGAATCACTTTACTGTACATTTAAAGTTTCTATAACGGATATACACCAAATATGGGTTACTTAGCATTTTCGAATTCAACCTTCATGGAAAAATGGAAAATTCTTAATTTTCTTGCTAGAACGTACCTTCGTCTCACGATTTTTGGTAGCTTTATAATTGTGGTAGCTTCATAATAAGCTAGCTAGGAAATGTTCTTCGATAGCAATAGCTTGTAGCTGATAACTAGCTATGTAGGGCTGATAACAACTGATATGTTAAAAATTACAGATATCTTTTATCGAGGGAAGCTGAAACACTTATTTCTATCCCATACAAGAAATGGTGTTAAATATTCTAAGATCTGTCAGTTTCATTGTCTAAAAAGCTTTGCCCTACAAAAAAGGTATCAAATTTAAAGTTTAAAAAAAACTTTCTCGGCTATTTGTTAATGATAAATGTATGGTTTTATACACATAACAATAAAATCACGAAGAAGGTTCTAGATAAAGAAAATGTCATTCAAAGCACAGCAAAAATCAATTGCTTTTCCAACCTTGTGTTACTTGCTCAATAACTCAGAAGATAAAAATGAATGTAGGTTTTTCTATTGATTCCATGGCAGCTGTACCACCATTGCTTAAGTGTGAAAATTAGCAAGATTCTAGAGAAAGTTGAACCAAACTTTGCACAATAATTTCAGCTTAGTTTTAAGTCTATAAAAATCTTCTGCCTTTTAGACGTTCAACAAATATGGGCCTTTCTCGGAGAAGCTTTGAGTTTATTTGAGGAAATTCTACCTTCCTTGTATCTTTACCCTACATAAGAATATATTTGGAAGCGGTCACCAGTTTGCCTACGATTAAGCAAAATTCTCTAAAACAGCATATATTTTTGCTCTTAACTAGAAATTTGTATTAAAAGTATCAAACAAGTTGTCCTCAGTGTATTCGTAAAGAGAATTAAGGATGCAAATTAAGTAAACTGAAAACGTACCTCTAATATGTTAAACCTCTTTCTAAGCAGCACCTTCCCTTCGTCTTTGTTTTGAAGTTCTAAAATGAACAAGACACTGCTGTGTCACAAGGTAATGCTAAGCTCTCAATAAATGTCTAGGAGTTTTCTAAGTATACTTGATTAAATTATGTTTTATATACTAAGTAAAACCAAAAATGGATATTGTTTTAATCTCGTATTGGTACATTGTCTATACTAAGTTGGAGGAACTCATCAAATGCTAATACTTGTCTACAAGATCTTCCAAACTTATGGAGGACAATGTCATTTTTGTCCGGTTGTCTTCCACCCTCTATGGATTCACCGGGCGAAAACAGATTCTGGGGATTTCGGCTAACTCTGAAATTAATTTGATTTTCGAGTAAGAAAGCGGACCAACGCTAAGTAGCTAGGGAACATCTTGAGAAAAGACACTAAGCCATTTCCTGACTGGCTATCTTTGATCCCGAATCATTCTAGCGACTTTGTAGACTTATATGCTCCATCGTACAAACTATTCGCTAGTCTTTTGAGTAGCCTAGACAAACCAGCACAAAATAATAAGTAATAACAAACTAATAAATGGAAAATACACTAGGACCCAGGCCACTGAGCAGGGCGAAAACATGCTGTGATGTGAAAACTTCATCACCACAGATCGACTTTAAAAGAAACCGTTTCTGTAAAGTCGTAGTATATCTTCGTTGCTATTATTTATGGCGTTAAAACATGCCCTTCATCACTATATATGCCTAGCATAGTTATAGAAAAATTTATATCAATGGAATCTTTAACGAATGGAATAATACAAGTATTTATATTTTCATTCTGACCCAACTGTTGGACGATCACTTTAAGGGTATCATAGAAGGAACTTGGGTTAAGGTATTTGAAAATTTGAACATTGGGGCATTTGAAATTGTGGCATTTGAACAGCGTGTGCTATTTTTGATGCAACACTTGTAGTATATTCAAAAGCAAGGTAACTTTACAATGCGGTGAGCAAGCATTGGGCTCAAAATGACTTAAAAACTTGATCATCAGCATATTCATTGTATGCAGTCAATATTGCCAAGAAAATGTATTGACTTGTATGATACGTTATTGAGAAGTCTAAAGTTCCTTATTGCAATTTTACTACAGATTTAACTGCTGGCACAAATGCGAGAATTAAAGCGAACACTTTGATGGGAGCAAAGGATAAGGAAAGTGTTTTACACTTAAAAATTCCTGATTAAATATTGATATATCAAAAGGTATTGTCAAGACTTTTCGGCGTGTGAAAAAATCAAATTTATTCAACATGTTTTTTCAAATAAAATCTAGTTTCTTAATTGGCCAAACATGGCATGTTTTGACAGCATGGTGGAACAAAGGGACTTTCTGTAACAAGCAATAAACAATAAACTCGGTGAACATTCATTTCAACTTTAAGAAATGCAAATGGATCAATAGAGACATGTTATATAGACTGCCTTGTTGTAAACAAAGCCACAACTCATGTTCATTAAGGTGGCGGCAGCCTCGTCAATACTCAAACACGTATCTGATTGGCTAGGTCGTTTGTTTTGTTGGAGAGTTTGAGGTTTAAGTAACAATGCATTGGTTAAAGTAAAGCGCCAGTTACCAGCTCAATTGATTAGCATATTCGTCAAACATTAATAAAACTGAAGACACGGGGTAATCAAAGAAACTGCCTTAATGATATGTGAAACGTGAATAGGTATTGACCAAAGGCGTCTACGAAAATGTTAAAAAAGCTAAGCTGGTACGGTTTTCAAGGCTTCCAAAAGCCAATCGGCTAAAGCGTTTGAGTAACCTGAGAACAGACTTGTTCGTGCCTTGATATTCAGTTGATACTAAAGTTTCACGCCCTATGCGATTCTGTGAACTTGCAACTACACAACAAGAACGTGATGTGCATCTTGGTAACATTTGAATGGCATTAACTCAACTTCTCACTTGTTGTTAAAAACAAAAAGTTGTTCGATCTTAAAAAGAATTTGCCTTTTCGCAGGACAACAACAAGCGTTACCCTTCTTCTTCGTAAAAGTGTTTAAATGATATAAAAGTACAGCTTCCATGAACAACGGTGGCACTGTTTAAATGAAACGGTTTCAATCATGTAGTCTAACGTTTTTATAAAAAACGAATAACATTTTCCACAAATGCAGATTTGATGCCTAATCAACTATACTGGTTGCATGTTCTTCGAGAAACGATATGCGTGTTTACAAGGACATTCCAAAAAGTACAATCTTTTGTTTGTGATTACTGTGTTATCAAGGGCGCTGCTAGGAAAATTTTATCAGGGGGAGAAGGGGGGTAGGGGTGTCAAGTATCAAGTTGCTGAGCAGATGAATTTTCAATCACATAAAATGAAGGCATACTCTGGTGTCAAAAAAAGGGACCTTCAACCTCTTTTACTAGATACTGACTTTGTGGTTCCTGGACAAGACCTTCTAATTGTTACATTTCCTACTGTTGTTAAAATTTTTCATTCATTTTGAAAGTCTGCTTATTTTTAAAACCCTCTGTTTATCCCCTACCTCACAGTACCATTCTGAATAATATCTTAATAAAAACACAACAATAATATCTTAAAGTTGTTGCTAGGTTCCAAATTATTGTGACACAAGCAGTAAACAAGCACCCAATAGTTGCTAACTTAGACGGCATCGTGGTTGCCGCAGAAGGTGAAGCAATTTTTGAATTTTGATGCCTCCAGTTCGCGTGAAACTGCACTTGTTGAAGCAATTTTTACTACCTTACAATACAAAATTTCCTTTAGAATAAATATGATTCTCATCATTCGCGCTTTCAATCCTGAAACATTGTAATATGAAGTTTGGCTCTCACTGATTTCGGTTTGCCAATTAACGGTTGAAATATTAACATGCTGAGAAGCGAAGAGGATCAAATCGAAATGACAACAAAAACAAATATACCATAGACTATCATTGATTATTTTATTTTTTCCCAAACAACTTTGCCGAGGAAGCAACAAAAGTTTCAGAATCTGCCGAGTAAACGACCGATTCATAACTCTTGGGGAGAGTGTCACACCCCCTACATTCCCCTTAGCACCGCCCCTCTATGTTAATACCGATATTCCATTTACCCTTGTTATGCGATTAGCAAAATGTCTTCCAAAAAAGGCTGCACCACAAAGATACAGCGACTTAGGTCAGGCAAGGCCTTATTCTAGATTCTAGGTTGAAACTTAAAGACAACGGAAAAGGTAATAAAGACGATATGCTTACCCTTGCTGGTAACGTTTGCCAATTCAATGCCCTTGCAACCAAACACAAACCTCCAGGGTCTTTTAAAAGCAAAAACGTCACACTGAAAAATGGATTAAAACATCATGAAATTATACCCTAACAGAATAATTACATGCAAGAACTGACTATAACTAGACTGGTGTCACATTTCCTGTTGAAATTGCATATCTTTAGGCCATAATCTACGAATACTCTGTTTTCCTCATCAAAAGTCTTAGTCTAGCACTAATAGCTTCATAAAACTGACATACGTCAATCATTCTTTACTTATCAAAATTATTTGCAGGCCACCGGATGGTTTAATTGAAAGGGATAATTGATGAAGCTTAGTTTAATGGTTATTCCATATAAGAATGATCTGATGAGAAGGAGAATTTATGACAATTTTATTCTTGAATGACTACATGTTAAACAACTTAGGGTATCACCTAGATGAAAAATGGAAGAATATCGTGTTAAGACTAGAATTATGCTCAACAGGTTTATCTGGAAAGTGTCCGGCCATGTTATGAAATATGTGGCCTAGCAGAGATTATTGGGTAGGCTCTAGAGCATTAATGTTGGAAACTATAATCTAACTGTAATTGGTTCTAAATAACATGCTTCCAAAACTAATCAGTTTGAACAAAAGAACCATAATATTAAAGACCAGGAAAGAGGTTGCCCCTGTGAATGATTATATAGGACGGGTCTTTAAACTCCAAAAAAATGCAGACAATTTCGCTATTAAACAAAGATGATATTAGTCTTGGCTGTGAAAGAAATGAATCAAACTGGAACCGAGGGGCGATTCACTTTTGCAAACAGCGTACGAGATTTTACCTAAAACAAAAGGATTTCTGGGGATTTTCAGATTAAGCAATAGGATTTTCTTAGAGTGATTTGCCCCTCGGCTGGAACAACAGTTACTTTGGTTAATTTCATGTCTATTGATATCACTCAATTTTAAAACAATACAATGTTGTTTCCTCGATTTTATCACTTAAATTGAACATTAAAAACGATCTTATGACGTCATCACTCAGCCATGCACCACTCTGTTGTGTACATATGATATGATTTGGTAGCTGTTGGATATTGGACCTAAATTAAAAGCATACATTTAGATCTACTGCTGCTACAAAACTGGGAGTTTTCACTTTGTCAACCTATTCATAAAATATATTTATAGTCATAAAAGTTTCAAATCCCGTATACAACAAGAAGAAAATTACAAGAAAAAAGATATATAGATGATGCTAGATGTTAAATCTAATGCGAGTTTATTCATAACCAAGTAGAAAATTTATTTTAATGTTTGGTTATATTTGCATGGCTTGTATGAGAAAAGAAGTTTTATGTCTGTCCTATTAAACAGAACATGACTAAGAGCGACTGGGAAAAGTGCAGGAAACGAGGGAATAATTATTGAACATTGTATGAAACGTTTTGATAGCATTTTACAAAAAGTTGAACAACGGCAGCTAGCACAACATGCTCTTCGCTAACTAGCCATAAGCTTGCTTGCGCAAATATAATAAATATCACAGAGACAAAACAAAATTTGGAAGGTTTCATCTGTTGCTATGCCATTTTTAATTTCCCAGCAAATATGTGATTTAACGTTTTCTCTTTAAACAATATTCAAATTTATACAATATTTCAATTCTTTGGAGTAGGAAGGTGGCAAGATGTTATCTTCATCTGCCGTTAAGCCTAGATAATGCAAAAATAGGAAAAAACTTAGGAAACGAGCCTAAGTAACATTTCGATTGTTCATCTCGATTGTTACAAAATTCCATAGTCCCCTTAATGAGCTTGAAGTCAAACTTCCCTGACTAATGAATTTTGCATTACCATGTAATTTTTCTTTTGTTAGGTTTAGGTTTAAGGCAGCTGGACAAGAGGGTTTCAGAGGAAACCTCAAAAATTCACTGGATTATGAATCTTTGTCGTTTTGATTATCAGTTTCATTAGTTATCAATTTGTTCAAAACTCTTATTCAAAAATTCCTTTAGCAATCCTATGCGTCTTTTGAATGAATGAAACATTTGACCAGGATAAGACTAGAAGACAAACTTGGGCCTAAAAGGCTTGAAACAGGCAGAGCACAATGATTTCTTAGAACATTGGACAATCCATATAGAGTTGTTACGCCACTGTAGAGGAGACCAATCAGGGACAAGTAATCACGTGATATGGAAAAATTTCGTAAAAAATAACGTAGAAAATAGATGACAAGAATTGTTTGAAATTATGCAGTCATTGTCGACAGTTTCTACTTAAAACTCTTAGCGTGCTTCCAACCTTGAGAGCTTGGGCTTGCCTTGGTTAAAACAGGAAAATTGAGTCATCAAGCAAAACATACCTTATATCTAAAAATGTGATTCAAGCTAACGGCTAAAATTCAGTTATCTACCTTGATGTATGTGAACACTTGTTTTTAGCAAAGAAGAACAACACTGCGAGCTTCAATGCAGAAAATTTCGCTAATCCAGAATCGAGGCGAATATTTCACCATGACGTGTCCCGCCTTATTATCGTGACCTGAGTATTTGCCAAAAAGACTGCACTGTTTTTAGATTGGCGTCGGATAAATGACAAATGCTTTGGGAAAATCTGCTCAAGTTTACCTGGATTATTATTTGGGCTTTATCACTAATTTTTTCGTTGCTGAAAATAGCATGTTCACAAAGACGCATCAACTGTTACTTTTACATCCTTATCACCACAATTTGCCGTATTAAAACAAAAACTTTTTCGAAACATTGAATGTGTACTTTAGGTAATGTTCTAAATAAACTATCGTTCCTTTTTCTTGTTTTTCTCAAAACATTGACCTCAGACAAGCCTTAGGCCAAAACCAAAATCTACTCATCTTAATCGACTAAGGCCTTACATTAATAAATGTTTTTGTACTCAGGGCAGACCTACAAAACCACGTGTGGACCTTAAATTGTAAATGCAAAAAATGTGTTCATGTGGCTGTGATAGTTCTATTTTTGACTGTTTGTAGAAAAAAACAAAAAATATCCAGAAAAACCAAATACCATGGTGAGAGAGAATACATCACTCATCTGAAGAGCAATTTGCTTTTGATTTCCAGTCAACTCCGATTATAGTGACTCCACTTAAAGTCACGTTTCTGGTTACTGTCACAAAACTTAGACCCAACTTTCCAAAACTATTCATATTAGTTCAGTTTACAGCCACACCCCGTTTACAGTCACACGTTTTCAAGCAACATTTGGTGTAACTATAACTCGAGTCTACTATGATTTGCAATTTAAGAGAATGTAATAGACTTCATAATGCAAGTTAAATTCCAAGAATCCAAGTGTAAAGATAAATTTTTTGTTAAACACTTAGCTTATACATCGCAAAAAAAGAAAATATTACAACAAAGGAAAAAAGGGTTGGCTAGGCCAGATATATTTCCTTTCAAAGCAACAAAGTCAACATTTTTGCAAAATAAAGTTTTTTGAGAGCTTTTCAATTTTTTTACTGATTAACCTTTTAAAAATAATGTTAATCACTACAAAACTCTAATGAATAAAAAATAAATAAATTGATAAAAGGAGATCACATGTTTGAATGTTCTACTGTGTCAAGTTTATTTAGGCTCTTGTAATTTCGATCTACAATTACCAATTTTTTCACATTTTTGATACAACCGAGAAGTCTATATTTGTTTTTTCACTCTTTTTTTGAAAATCAGCCTTCAAAAATTCAAAAAGCACATAACTGAAATTTTGAACCTAAAGTTCAAAATAAAGATGCTATGAATACATTTATGCAAGTGACAGGCTCCAAAGAGCTGACATTCTGAAAGGTCAAATTAGAGTTTTTCTCGATAGAAAGTTCTATAAACAGCACAATATCATTTTCACATCGAATGCCCCAGCGAGGGTGGAAGCTTTATATATTTGCGACAAAAAAGATTACGAAAAGTAATGGAAACGAAAAAAAACACTAATTGCTTTGAAAAGAGAAGTAGTTGTCTCCTATGTAATTCGCTCAGGAAGGCATTCCAGAAAATTCCTGGCTAATCTTAAAGACTTCGACTTCCGTTGCAAATCTAATTTGACTGTTTTTAATACTTATCAACTAAAAGATTACAACACAGATTTACAAACTACGCTACTTTACAAAATTACTTTACAACTATACGATGCTACCTTGACTGTTTGATAGCAAGGCCAAAATAAAGAGCAAATGTCCCTCTTCATAGATTGAGAAACCTCTTTTAGCATTTACGCTGGTTAAGGACACCGTGGTATTACTTTTCTGAACCAAACGGAACTTTCCAGCTAAGAAAATTACATGGTGCCTGAAGAATTCAACTGTATCTAGAGTAAATTGAAAGAAACTGCTCTGAAATAAAAAATGTCTCTGTATTAGCTTTTGTTCTTCGTAGTAGACGATATTATTTTGCTGATTATCAAACCAGTACTTTTTCTTGATTTATAAGACAAGGAAAATGGCAAAGACTTACATCGTTTCCAATATAGCATCCAAACAAAATCTTTTGCTAAATCACAAAAAGTACGATTCTTCCTTTCAACACATTGCTGAAACCTTTCTTTTAAGAATAGTTGTCAGCTAGCTTAGACACATACCAGTGATGCTTCTTGCATTACAAGCAGAGAAATTGTTCTGTTATTATTTTTCTTGGTCTCTTATGACCAGCAGTTAAAGTTAACACGTAGCCTATGGCATTGTCTATATAGTGAAATTTCTGGCAGGTCACTTTTGTACACAACTTTGCCGCCAGTTAGATATATCTCGCGTGCAAGGAACTGCGCTAAGGTTTTGGCACTGGGAAACGGAAATTTTGCAATGCCGAAAAGTGTAATTCAGATGTCTACAGCATTTATCAAACAAATACAGAGATCAGCACATCAGATAAATATCAAGAAACCAAAAGCAAATCTCGTTGTAATTGAAACCGTGTTCCGGATTCTTGCAAAGGTCAAGGATGTTTAACGTAACAAAGTGCATCCCCTACATCACACAGCATACAAATGAATGAAACCACGCTTGATGGTGGGGAGGTGGCGAATAGAGGGTGCTAAATGCAAAAGAGGAGATGAGATCTCAATGGCCTTAGGGACGATCTTAATGTTGCTGACATGCTTTTGCCTAGTTTAAAGTCCTTTATACTCAATACCACATCCAACATGCCTATTTTTAGGTCATTCGTGCCTGACATCAATTGCTAAATGCAGCTAGAAGGACAATTTACTTGCTTCAAAGAGCAATCCAAAGTCAGTCTTCCTACCAACCCTGCACTCTTTAACTAATAGAATTTAGGACATTGGGAAACAAATTTTGTCCTCTTGCAAGCAGTATTAATAAAGAACTAGATCGAAGCGGCCCTGAAGTTTCATTATTTGTCAGAAATTTCATTCTAGGAAAACGCTACTGCAGTTGTTCATTAAGTGCTTACTACATTTTTGAATTCGGATCTCGTAATCTGGCCCTAGCGACTCCTTGTAGTTGAACCATCCATTGTATATTAAAGTGCTTTTTGCAAAACACAATTTTCTGCTGTAGAGACGTTTTGTTTCTCGTCAATGAGCTATGTGTACAGGTAAGAGAATTGTTCACCTTAAAACCACATCATCTACCCACTTAAAATAAAGCTACATGTTGGCAAAAGGATAAATGGATTGGTATTGAAGCCATCAGAATACATAATACCAAGATTGATATTACATAACGGTGGTGTCTTTGTTGTGTCAAAAATAACGCATTGTAGAATGCAACTCTTCCTGCTGAAAGAAACATACTTTTAGTACAAGTCTCTTAGAAGTAATAACTTTGAAAGAAAGCGCTATGTTTTTGGGAGATCTTTCAATGCTGCTTAAGAATTTTAATGCTCAAAAATAACGCATTGTAGAATGCAACTCTTCCTGCTGAAAGAAACATACTTTTAGTACAAGTCTCTTAGAAGTAATAACTATGAAAGAAAGCGCTATGTTTTTGGGAGATCTTTCAATGTTACTTAAGAATTTTAATGCTCAAACAAATTTTTGTTTTAAAATAAAGATCTAAACCACTCTTGCCATGTCCTGCATACTTTTCTGACTGAAAAAAGGAAGCTCATAGCTTTTACGCAGAACAGACTAATGCTGAATTAGAAAAATTGCAAATAAGAGGATGGCATGGAAAGGAGTCTATGGAATGCTTCTCCACAGGGGTCCTTTATGAGCCAAGCTAAAATAAAGGCATCTGTTAGAAAATTTCAAATCTTACATTGGCCATTTTTCATCTAATCTCTAAATAATTAAACTAATTCCGCATATAACGTAGTATTTCATGGCCTTGTTTTAGGTTATACGAACAAAAGTCAAACATTCTAAAAATAGATATTTTGTGACATCAAACTCGTCCTCGGGATTCATCGAAAAAGATGCGGTTAAACGTGCCTGGTAGAGACTTGAATAGCTTGGTCTTTATAGGGAAGTAGCAATTTATTGACAAATGACCAGACTTTTGACAAACATAAACAAGCAGACAAGGATGGTACAACGATACTATGCATACAATCTGATGTAGTGTCAGCTATGTCAATTTGATGAAGTTTTAGCTATTTTTGTCATACACGGACCTGCCAGTTAGCTTCAATGGTTAACATTCCTGTATTCCTGTATTCCTGTATTCCTGTATTCCTGTATTTCCTGTATTCTATTATACGTACGTTATAATGCGTACGTCACAACCTCGTTTTCCTGCTAATGCGAGATAGGTGTGGCAGCTTCAGTTGGTTGAGTTTACGAGTCGAGTTGAGTCGAGTCGAGTTGGCGAGTTATGGAGTTTACAACAGAGTTTTGAGTTATAGCTTTGATAATGTAAATAGTTGTTATGTTTATGAAAATGAGATAAAAACCAAGTTCAAGCTCATTATTGCAGCTCACGTCTTACAATCCTCACAACAGTTAAAGCGAGACTTTGAAAGCTGATGACTCTGCCTAAAACAGTGGCAAGCAGTTTTTCAAGGACCGTTAGCTGAAATGAGCTATTTTTGCTTTTCTTTTATTTACCATACTTTGTGTTCCGATGACTTTTTTGAACCTTTGACTTTGAAAAACGAGACAGCAGAACGAGTTGAAAACATGTCGTAGATGACTATCAGCTGGTACAGAGATACAATGCAATTCAATTAGGCCAAATTATGAGAGGATCGTTATTGCCAGCCTGTTTACATGTTAGGTTGTTTTTACTCCCTGATCTTTTTGGATAAGGGACATCAAAATTAATCGTAATTTCCCCAATTCTGCGAAAATACTGTATGACGTTTCTCTTAAGTGATTATTTCGGGTGGTGGCTGAAGAAAACCAAGAACCATGGACTGAAAAACAAATCAAGCTTGATTTGTGGCTTGGGATAATGCAGAGAATCTTCTCATTACTAATTACTATTTCGCATTATGTTTAAAAAGACCCATCAGCCATATGCGATAATAACCTTTTCTTGTTTTCTTTATTAGCTAACTTTGTTCCTCAATTCATTAAGCAAACTGATTCGAATAACTGCAAATAATCAAACAATTTCAATTTTGATACAATTTGAAAAATGTTCTTTGTCACAATTGGGTTCATTGTTATATAGAAAGGATGATTAATGGATTTTAATCCTATACTTGATCTATTAAAATATAATTTACAGAAAAGAATCCTGTCAAGGATTATCCACTTATGGGTCACCATATCCTAAGCCAAGAAAATCTCGAGGTCATTATCGCTCCAATTCTTACATCGGATTCTATCGATTAAATCTAAAAATGGCCAACCGTATCTAGAGAAGTAGGACGAATTGTGTAAAAATAGCACCTTATCTTTGGCTTTTTATTGTGTAGAATAGCACCTTATCTTTGGCTTTTTATTGTGTAGAATAGCTTCAGGATCATGCTATCTTAGCTTAAGCACGATGCCATTTGAAGTATTATATCCAAATATATACGTTTTTTACTAAAGAATAAAGCGAAGAAGTAAGGGAGAAATTTGTTTATAAATTCTCTAGTTATGAGAAAGGGCTTTCCCAAAATAGCCTGGGTGCTCTTCAATAATTGCTTTCCTGTGGCGCAACAAAAAGCCACTGCTTTTATGTACCCTTTTTTGTACATTAAGAGATAAAAACATTGGGAAAGCGATTCTTCCCCAAATCTAGCAAAATTTCCAAAAGATGATCTAGAAAATGGACTCAATAATGTCTGGCCTTCAATTTTGGCATATACAGGGCCGCCGGAAACCAGGGGGGCCACGGGGGCACAGGCCACCCTGTTTGCAAAAAGTATAAAAAAGTGCCCCTTTTTGAAAAATATATTGCGTGTATTTTTTCAATGCCAGATATTCTGCCTTTAGAAACTAAATAAAATGACATAACTCTGGACGTTGTTGGAGGACCATTCATTGAAAATTCCTTAAATGTTTACTTGGTCTTGAGGCAAAAGCGCAAGCTCCTGTGATGAACAATATCAACTGCGAAGAAGACTGCCAGTTCCGCGAGAAAATTTCCTTAGCAGGCTTAAACTCTCTAGTATGTCTTCAGCAACAAACGCATTAGTGAAAGGTGCGGTCAAGTCCCCGGCGGGCACAGTCAGTTGGTCCAATGTATATCGTGTGTGTTCTTGAAAGTAGAAACTGGAGGCCTATCTCTGATTCTGGGATGCGTAAAATAAACCCTATTCTGTGACTTTGCCAAAATTGTGAAACTCTTTTCACTGAGAATATTCTAGCTTGAGCAGGAATTTTTGATACCAATTCATGTTAGAACCATTATTTTTCTTAAACTTATGACTAGGCAAGTTAAAAAACAGAGTTCACTAAATTTGATTTCAACAACAATCCCTTGTGGTTCTTGACATATATATTAACAAAATCAGATATCTGCAAAACTATAACTGCAACATATTGCTTGCTTCACAACATTGTGTTCAATGCTTTTTATGAAGAAATGAAAAAGTTGTGTCTCTGCAATGAGTACATGCTAACAAAGACTTAAATTTCTTATCTAGGATTAGAACAATATACAAGACTAGACGTACTGCAAAATTTTTTGTACTTCAATATGCCATTAATTTATCTAGAAAGTTATCTGCAACATCATATCAGTAAATTCCTGCCCTTTTTGTGTTTCCTCTGACTGATTGAGAATGCAACCCAGTTTTGAAGATTCTATGTCAAAGAATTCTAGCTTTTTTCCAGTTTTTCGGAACTCACATGTAATACGTTTTACCAACAGACTGAGCCCCCCGGGGTCAAGTTTAAGGAGAGTTAAAAACTTGTTTCGTTCATAAGACTGACGAGATAAACCTAATCAATGTTGCAAATTGAATTTGCTATGACAGTGAAGAATGTTCCCGCACCTTCAGCCGATTGCGTGAAGATGGCTTAACCATAAATTTTTTTAGCTTTTAAGAAAAAATTCCATGGAGGCGAACGAATTTGTGTTTAAGTGGGGATGGTGCGAATACCAAGGGGGGCGAAATTGTTTAAATATGAAAGTAAGAAAATTAATATCATTATTATGTCCAGCGTGTGTCATAATTTTTATAATTATCTAAATTACAGTGAAATCTGTACCATTTTTGGCACTTACTAATGTTTCGGAAAAAAATATTTGTGCCCTTTTTATATGTTTTGGCCCCCCCCCCCCCTGTTCAAAACTGCGTCCGGCGGCCCTGATATAGGAACCATCTCCTGACAGAAACGTCGGAAGAGCTGCAAGGCAGGGTGGAGAGACAAGTAAACAATAGCAGAATAAATAAAATTGCTCAATTTAACCGCTCTCTGCAACAGTGGCGGTGCCGAGGAGTGGTATGTGGGGTAATTAGCCCTCCCCCCACGCTTTTATAAAAACATAGTCTACATATTTCTTCTATAAATGCATTAAAAAGCACTAGGTAGGGGTAGATCATATTTTCAAAGGAATCTTAACCTGTGGCAACGCACTGAAACAAAGCAAAAAGGGTGTGGCCTCACAGGTCACGTCCATTGCCCTCCCATTCTGCAGCAGCTGTCGCCGTCTCTGCTCTACACTT